GAATAGTGGCTCTGTCAAGACGAACGTCAGCCACAAGCATGGTAGAGTAATAGCTAAGAAAATGAAAAAAGAAACATACCACACATTGCTGCTCCAAGTTCATCCGCAACATCTTGAAGTAGTCAACATTCTTCAAGTGATGGCGAAGGCGGCCTAACAGCAAATCAAGCATAAGAGATGTAAGACAAAAATCAAGAAAACAAAAGATATTGGAAGAACAACCTCCTATATTATTGTAAACAGCTTCAAGGACATCCACCCACCCAGTTATTGTGCTGTCGGAGGCACCTGAAATAGCAACAAAAAATTAGCAAGACCAAAACAAAATATAATGCAGAAACGGAAAACAAGAAGCAAAAAGCAACCTTCACCACCATCCAAGCCAGGACCAGATGGGCAAGCAGAGGCCTCAGAGGTGCTCCCAAGCCATTCCAGGCAAGGTCCACACCCAAAGGATCATTAGGGTTCTCATCGGTTTTCCCAAGGGCCTCCGTCATACCCCCTGGAAAAATAAAAATAAGTCCCGATAAAATAGGAAAATACAAATAGCAAAGGAAAACAAAGCTAAGAGGCAACTTACCTAGATGCAATGGACTCAGGGCAATGTTTGAGCCACCAGCATCCTCGGCGTGATGACCGGTGGCTTCAAACATCACGTTTTGAAACAGAGCAACTGGAGAGCTAGCTTCCGCCTCGTCCTTGGACACCTCTATGAGACCGGCCGTAGGACAGCGAAGGCTAGTACTAGCAGCCTCCCCTTCTCTCGGCAAAGAAGCATCACCACGACTAGCACCTTCGCCCTCGGAGCTAGAAGACTCATCACCCAAAATGCCGGGCATAGGCGCCACGACGGAGGGTTCAGCAGTAAGGCCACCACCCATTCCTTGGAGGGCGGTGTCCACAAAGTCATCGCCACCAAGATCCAAAGAGGCAGTAGAGTGCTCGCCCCCTATTCTAGTAGCAACGAAGCCAGAGGCTCCGCCAACACTTTCAGCAACCTCCTCCTCATCATTGGCAGAGGCGGCAGCAGAAGCAGCCACAGTCTTCCGCCTTTTGGTGATGACCTTGGGCGTAGCAACCCCTTTTCTTTTCTTCGCCTCCACCGCAGTAGTCACATTCATGGCGGTGGCCTTCGTAGCCTTGTCCTCTATGGACTTGTGCTCCTTCGCAGGAACGTCATGTTCCTCGTGGTGGATGCTGAACTCCTTAAAAACTCTATTGAGCCACGACATAGTACTGGTGATGGCTTGGCATGCCAGATACTCCCTGTTAGACATTTTGCAGAGTATCTCACGCGCCGTTGCCTCGGTGGACTTCACCAATTTCTCAGCAGCCCGACCCTCCTCAAAACCAAAACGGGGAAACGGAACCCCAACACCTTCACCAAAAATAGGTAGATTGACCATCTCAATGGTCATGGCAAGCCTGTACCTACCTAGTGGCCAGCAGTTGGCCGCCACCATCTCCTCAACCAAATCACAGCCCCCGGGAGTACCAGCAGGCCAGAGCAAAAGCCTTGTCGCAGGCTATAGGACCCTCATCAGCCCCCGGACCCAGGATCCATTGAGTCAAAGGCCTCATTGGAGTCATCACTAAAGCCAATGGATAGCGGGTATTCTTCTTCCCGTCTGAGCCGGTAGATGTCACGCCACCGGTCCTCACGTAGAACCAGTATTGCATCCAATCCTTCGACCACTTGTTCTTCTGAGTGAAGGAGATCTCCATCTTCTTGCCCATTTGGTTCCTCTGTAGCATAAAAGTGCAGCTTCCGTACTGCACCACCAACTGGCCTTCGCCAACTCGTTTAGGCTGGCGCTAGAGCTCATAGTACTCGTAGAAAGTACCAATGTTTGGCTCCACGCCATAAGACAAGCAGGCCCAGTAGAACTTACTCAGGGTAACAATACCATTGGGGGTAAGATGGTGAAGTTGTACCTTAACGCTTCCAAGACTTGGCGAAGGAAGCATTTGCCGGGAACCAAAGGTCAAGAAAGGAAGAAATGCCTAAAAACCACGGCATCTACGGCCTTCGGCTTAGGAATTGTCTCCGCCTCCGGAAGCTTCACCTTAGCATCACCAAAGCAGCCCAACTGCCGCAACTCCTCGATCATGTCCTTCGTCATAAGCGAAGGTCCAAAATCCCACGTCCTGGATGAGCCAGCCATGTATCCCGCCTCTTCAACGGTTATCAAATCTGCGTTGGAGGCCTCAACTCGTAAAGATCCTCCTCAAGCCCTAACGTCTGCGTAATCGACAATCATACACACCTCGAACCACGTAGACCACCCACTAGACCTAACACCGAGATGGCAACGGTACAGCCCAAAGAAGGAAGCTCAGCGTGGAGGAGGACTGACAGGCGTGGCCACTTCTAAGACTCAGTGACAGCCCAAAAAGGAGTGAAGGCAAACACCAACTAAGCGAAAACTAGGCGTAAAAGGACAATGTACACAACAGCAGCAGCGAAAGCTATGGCTCAGATAGAGACGGGGGAGCGTTCACCTACCGACCCTTATATAGCCCCTGCCACGTCGCTTCAACTTTCGAGGCCAACGGTCACGTCCGTTCCAAAACACGTCGGTTCCGCAGCCACCGTAGCGAATCAAATAATGACACGTCACCAATGTAGCGGTCTGATCTAGGCGTCCCAGCGGGGAAAGGGGCCAAAGCCTCCATATGTGCAAAGAGCCTCTGCGTCTCAGAACTTGAAGGCTAGGTTTCAAGGGCAAGGCCCGCCGGTGGGAAGCCTCCGCGCCTCAGAACCTGAGGACTATGTTTTGAGGGCAAGGCCCGCCACCATCAGACCAAGCCCTCAAGGGGGGAACTGTTGGGACACAGTTATGAGACGCGGAGGACAAAGTTTGCAAAAGCTATAAGAACTAATGGTAACTAGTTTTATGAACGAGTGCGGAAAGGAGGCCTAGGCCTTCGCTCGAGAGATCACGTGAGGCGAAGGGTCGGGAGCTACTGCGAAGGCGCCAGGAAGCGGTCGGGGTGGAGGCTCTCTGACACGAGCGAAAGGCTATGGCTCGGACCTTGAAGCAAAGGTTAGGAAGCTCTGGCGAAGGCTTCCCTCGCAGAGGCCCCGGAACTAGGGAAAGCCCCCGCTCGGCGACATTACTGGGCTGTGGGCCGATGACGATTTGTCGACGGTGGCCCAACAGGCAAAGGTGGTAAAGGAAAGAGGATACCCAAACTGCCCCAAGGGGCTTGCATTTGCATAGGAATATTTTAGGAATGTACTGTAACCGACAAGGGTTAGAAAATATAAAGAGTAGCTCTAGCAAACAGTGCCCTATAAAAGGGGGGACTCAAACTCTGTACAGGAAGAGGGAGAGACATTAATGCAACCCTAGTCAAGTTCGGACCCACCTCTTCATTACTCTCCCCTTCGCCCAGGGCTCCAGACCGGGCAAAGGCTATCGTACGTTGTCTTTCTTTGTCTCGACTGCTAGAAACCAAGCTTTCCAACATGCGGTTAATCTTTGGTGTGGCGGATGCAAAGCTGTTTTATAGGGTGTCTCTCTTCTTCCTCAGCCTTCTCTCCTTTTTCTCTTCCCATCTGTCCCTCCTTTGGCTTCCAACAGAGAGATATTGGATTTAAACCGTGGCTAAGACACTACTAAACCGTTAGTGATATTGTCAAGATCCGGCATTGGTATATCACTGTGACTCGTGACTCAACCTGAGAGTGAGAGGGGTTTCACTGCCGGGGCTCAATAAGATCCCAATATATTGTCGGATTGATCCTATGATTAGGACCCGGTAGTGAAGATGGCGCTACAGCACGTTTGGGAGTGGATGGGCTGAAAAGATGGTTTGTTCTGTAGTAATAATGATATGAAGTCCTGATATTCATGTGTGTACGAGTGATCATAAAATAAAAAGTATAGGTCTAAAAACGGTTGACTGCAGACTCGCATGTCTGTTGACTATTCCATGCATCGACCAAGTTAGGTCCGCCCACCACGTATTTCTACATGACCATTTATTTCTCGCCAAAATTTTGAACCCTGCATAAGTATTCATGTGTAAATAGAATGATGAGATATGAGGCTGGTTCTTAGTACTATATATGTATGTAATAATAATAAATCAAGTAACTAGGAACTCTTGTCCATTTATTTGAACAAGCACACAGCTGCATTATATTAATGTGTTGTCTCAGTACGTCCTGGTCGAGTAGGGTTAGAATTTCCAGGCCGGTCATCTAGATCTAGTTACATACCGACAAAGTCTAACCAATGTTACACGGCAGCGCAATGCATGCCACAAACTTCTAAGAAGCAACGGTGGATACGCTCCTGCAGTCAAATATCCCGCCTACTTTTGCCTAACTTATTTTGGGGGAGCTGGTTTGTGGTGCACGAAGGTTCATATATAAATCATATTTAAGCAAAGGATTTTCTCCCCCTAAATCATGTATTTTTCATATATATGAAATTGAACTCTTTTTCGCCAAAGAAAGCATATGTCTAAAGTCCAGTCCAGTATCATGTGGGTTGCGGTGCCATTTTGTATGGGTGGAATAGAGATTCGAGGGTTTTCTCCATATATGATTCCTTGCTTTCAAGAATGGCCTTTAGGTAATAAAGTAGAGTTTTAAAAATTGGAGTACTATTATAATACTATCAGTTCAAAAACAAAAAAACTGCAGTTGCTATACTCTGGAATATACTCCAATATGCTGTTTCGAGATCTCAATATCCACGTTCCATACACAGGAAATTACCTAAAAAATTGGCGATATCTGAATCTCATTCACTAGCTGAAGTGGAGGAAACAATGGAACAGCTGAACCGTCTCGCTGTCACCCAAAATTGGCGACAGATATAACTCATCAAGGGTAAGTTTGTCATTCCGTCAGCCCTGACTTTTCCAAACCCCGTTCTTTCCCTGCCACGAGGCTATAAATACGCATGCATCCTTCCCTAACTCCTCCACACTACAAAGCTCTAGCTAGCTCACCACACGTCGTAGACAACTAGAAGATAGCATTCATGGCGTCCGGAGCTACTTCTTCCTCAGTCCTCAGCCTGCTCCTGCTCGCTGCCTTTGCGGCCAGCGCAAGAGCGGCCACGTTCACGATCACCAACAACTGCGGCTCGACGGTGTGGCCGGCGGCCACGCCCGTGGGCGGCGGCACGCAGCTGGACCCTGGGCAGTCGTGGACCGTGAACGTGCCGGCGGGGACCCAGTCCGGCAGGGTGTGGGGCCGCACGGGATGCTCCTTCAACGGCGGCAGCGGGAGCTGCCAGACAGGCGACTGCGGCGGCGCGCTCTCCTGCACGCTGTCCGGGCAGCCTCCCATGACGCTGGCCGAGTTCACCATCGGCGGCAGCCAGGACTTCTACGACATCTCGGTTATCGACGGCTACAACCTCGCCATGCGATTCTCCTGCAGCACCGGCGTGACCCTCAACTGTGGCAGCTCCAGCTGCCCCGACGCCTACCTCTTTCCCAACGACAACACCAAGACCCATGCCTGCAACGGCAACAGCAACTACCAGGTGACCTTCTGCCCATGATCACCGACCGATCATGAGGCCGCCGGCCGGTGCTCCAACCATGCGTAGTGCTCCATGCACCGTATTGCGTATACGTATGTCTGTCCGATCCTACCTAGTGGAGAATTATAACGAATAAAAGTAGTTGAATAAGACTTTATCGAGAAAAGTCGTCCACACGTGCATTGATGTTCACGCATATGCATCTTTGATTTGTACTCTCAAAACATGGATGATGTATGTGTCTCATCAGTTATCAAGTAGCTAGGACTATGTATTTGTTAATCGATATGAGAGTGACATTTATGTATTGCGGTCATGTTTGTTTTAGCCTTTATTTTGTCACATCTCTCTTACACTACACACGCCTGAAATCGATCGAACGCTCTCCTCGTATGCCCTGTTTGTTTATAAAGGGGCATGGAGGAAGTAGGCTGGCTAGGTACAGGAGGTGGGAGCGACGCGGAGAGGCGAGGAGGTGGGGCCACCACTAGCCATGGGTGAAGGAGGATGGTGGTTGGACCAGGAAGAAGAAGGGGGGGGTGGGCACATGTGAACTGTGCGAGACAGATATTGAGCAACAACGGTACAAGATGAACACAAAGCATCCTTTCCAAATCTAATGGTACTAATGTGTTACCTGAAAAAAAAAAATCAGAATTGTTAATGCTCAACCGGTTGTTTTGGAGCTTCAAAACAACTGGATTTGAGACCGTGGGATCTGACCTCGTTCACCTCCGAGCTGTCCGATCTCAGCGACACGGGCCAGTGGGGCACCGCGATGGCTGCTCGTGTGAAGGGCCCGCCGCCGCTGCCCCAGCCCCTCCTGCGTGCATCGGTAGCGCCCACAACGTGGGCGCGAGGGTCACCCTAGGCCGGCCTCTGCCGTCGCTCCCTCCAGCGCCATGCCCTCGCGGGCGTCCCCAGTGCGTGGGCACGGGCGCCTCCTCCTTCTGGGCAATTTTGGGTGGATTTTGTCTTTTTTTGTTTGAAATTTCTGGAGAATTTGTGAATAATTTGACATATGTTTCTCTGATGTCTAGAATCCATATTAATAATTTGTAATTATTTAAAAAAAATTGGCATATATTTGTGTTATTTTCAAATTACATCACTCTATCCAGTAAACTACACTAAAGAAATCATTGTAAATATAGTAATAAGACGGTGTAAATTTAGCTATAAGACAGTGTAAGTGCATGTGAAAATTCTGGTTGTTGAGAAGGGCTAAAACAACCGGTCGTTGGCTAGACAGATTAAAAAAAATAGGCACCTGACTACAGCAATTCTCTTGTTTTTATTAACGAGACTAACTAAACCCATCCCAGGAAGTGCTTGTCCGGATTCTGTCAATGCATATCTAAGAAAAAGGAAACTTCATGTCAAGGAAGTTAGGCTTGATATAGAGTATATTACTACAATGCTATCTACACGGGTACTGTCTCAAAACAGACCAGGACCAGCTCATTCATGCTGCAGGAGCTCGGGCTCCGTCCGCGCGCTGCCGCCAGCTCCGTCCACATGGCACCACCATCTCCGTCCGCGCACCCCCGCGTTCCTCTCCATCTCCGTGCCTTAGCCTAGCTATTTTCTTTGACTTGATAAGGAGCTAATAGTAGTACTTGGTAGAGAAATCTTTTGCATCTATTGCCGTGTTACGTCTGTTAGAAGTTGTGTCAGATATATATTTCGTGCATCTACAGCTGGATAGACTGAGATGCTGCCAAATTGCCAATTGGAAAGTGTCATGGATGCATGCATGATGTGGATTTTGGTGGGCTAACTCTGTCGATGAGCCACTTCATAACTTGTACGGGTATGAACGTGCACGCAACCGAAAATCCAGCTACAGTGACAAGGGCACTGAAAATCATGTATATATACGTTACATGCAGGGATATAGAGCAATAATTTAATTAAAATGTCTTGCAAGATTAGCCAAGATTATTATAGTTAGAAAAGTCAGGACACAATCTGCCTAGCTAGGAATTAGCGTTAATTAGGATAAAGTTTAGAGGTTGCCATCAATTGTGGTATCTATGCCTATATTTTGTTTGACCTGATAAGGAGCTAATAGTACTAGAGCTATATTTTGTTAGAAGTTTTGTGTCAGATAGTTCATGCATGTAGACGTGCTGAAAATTAATCCAAGTTGACAAGGGCAACACACTAGTAATACAAGATATTGCTTGTTCAATGGATGAATCCGTCTTCAAGGCCGGCCTGGCTTCAAAACATGCGTAGTCCTTGTGGTACCCATGCGCCTCCTCTCTAGAAGAAAACGGACCAGCGGGAAAACTAGCCTGGGCGTCACGCTACGTGCGCGCGCGCGCCAGCGGGCAGCGGCACGGGATTTTCTTTTTCCTTCCTCGGCTGACACTGTCACGATTGCGGCGCCGCGCCGTCACGGCCTCGGTCACGCACCACGCACGGGGCCTTGCTTTGCCGCGGCAGGCAGGCACAGGTCGCCCGCACCGCACGCGGGGGGAGGGAGACGCGGCCGTCGCTTTTACCTCATCCCAGGAGTGGCGGGCGCGAAGGAAGGCTATGGACGGCGTTGGCTCCACGTCGGCCGCCCGGCCTGTCGTGCGAACGGCACGGGCTATCCGCCCGGCTGTCTTTCCCCGGCCGTCCACGCGAACACGTCCGTGCTAGATGGAGATTTGCCGGCCACCACTCAGTCATTAATAACACGACGCTCGCCGGCCGGCGCGGCCGTCAACGGCTCGTCAAAGATTTCCCGCTGCTGCCAGGCGGCATCCTGCTACGCCTCAGCCTGAGTCTTAACTGGATCGGATGAATGGATCGAGTCAAACGCAGCGTGGATTTTTTTAATCGAGGGCGGATAGCCCGTGCCGTTCGCACGACAGGCCGGCCGGCCGACGTGGAGCCAACGCAGGGTTCAAAAAAAAACCTCTCTTTTTCCACGTACGTACATATCTTTAAACATTAATTTTCCATAGGATATATAGGAGAGCATGTACATACACATATATTCGTCAGTCCAGCTCAAACAAAAAACTTGGCCGTAACAAAAAAAACTTGACCGTCACTACGCCAAATTCTTACAGCAGGAACGGGGACATTTTTACTGTAGGGGCGGCTGGAGTTGGGGGCGCCCCTATAGTGGGCGTCCTCGGCCCCAGCAGCCTAGCGCCCCTACAGATGTCACTATAGGGGCGGCTGGTAACCTAAGCCGCCCCTACAGTTAGGGCTGATCTGTAGGGGCGGCTCAATCACCACCGCCTCAAGAAGAGATGTCACCAGAGGGCGGTGGTAACCTCACCGCCCTCTGATTAGGGCTGATCTGTAGGGGCGGCTCAATCACCGGCCGCCCCTGCAGCAGATGTCACTGTAGGGGCGGCTGGTAACCTGAGCCGCCCCTACAGTTACGGCTGATCTATAGGGGCGGCTCAATCACCAGCCGCCCCTGCAGTTCTAACTGTAAGGACGGCTGAATCACCAGCCGCCCCTACTGATGGCGCACGAATAAATAGCAGTCACCCTCTTCTTCCACCTCGGGACACACTCTTCTACACACACAAAAAGGTTGGGAGGCCTTGGGCTCCTCCTAAAAATTGCTCTACTAAGGGGGGAGGTTTTGATCTCAAATCCTTTGGTGGAGATGCTCTAAAAGGTAAGGAAATGTGTCTCCAACTCTTTATTTAAGTTTAATTCGTTGATTAGTGAGTAATTTGATTTTAGGTTTTCTCTCTTCCATGGAGCTTGAGCTAGTTATGAGTGAAATTAGACCCTAATTTTCACTATACTAGGATAAATTAGGTAGGAAAGTAAGGTTGCACCCTTTATTAGTACATCTTTGTTGATTTTAGTGTAGTATTAGTGAAGTTTGATGCATGTGTCATGAAACCCTATATCTAGATCTAGGATTTTGTTTTTTTTTCTTTTTCAATTTTTCCTTTATGTGACTAGGGTTTGCATGTAGGTGAATGTGTAAGATTTTAATTGTTGCTAATGTGCAAAATATTCTCTACCATGGCTACTAATTATCATTTAATATTTATTTTGATTCATTTCTATAATGTGTGTTTTTAATAAGTTATGGATAAATAGGCCATTAATTAATTATCCTCTACCATGAAATTGGAATGGAGTTTGCATGAAAGGTAGTGGATGAAATATTAAATGTTGCTAATTGTTTTATTTGAAATTGTTTATTTGAACCAATTAATTTATATTTTAAAATATTTATGCATTAATAGTCAATTAATTAACTATCCTCTACTACGATGGTGCGTGTCTCAGGTATATACAATTATTCTCGAGTAATATTCTTTCTTTGGTTATTTTGTTTCTATAAGATGGACTACAGGAACTCTTGGATGTATGGTTCGTTAAGACACGACGCTCTTTTCCGTGATGAGGTGGACAAATTCATCAAAGCCACAGAGAAGCATGCAGCGACGTTGAAAGAGAATAGCGACACGATTATTTGTCCCTGTAAAGATTGCAAGAACCTTATTGCATTTCGAGATGTGAGTACCATCGAAGAACATCTTATTAGAAGAGGATTTGTTCCGGACTACACAGTGTGGATTCATCATGGTGAAACAGTGGTTGTTGATGACAACGACGATGATCTAGCTGATGAAGCTGAAACCCAAGCATACTTGTCCCGATTCACAGACGATCTTGAGCAACAAATGGATCGTGACTATGGTAATCAACAAGGTGGTGGCTTTGTCAATCAACAAGGTGGTGGCTTTGGCAATGAACAAGGTGGTGATGATGCTGGTGGTGCCAGCAATGATGGCAAAGCACATGAGGGGGATGCAGATGACGATGACAACTTGGACGAAATGCTTGGGGCCTTTGGACCAGAAATATTAGAAAAGAGCAAGAGAGGTCTAGAAAATCTTGAGAGGGTGACAAAAGCATCGAAGAAGACTGTGTATGATGCTGAGAAGGGTTGTCCGACATACTTCACACTGCTACGTTTTGTGCTTGAGCTACTCATCCTGAAGGCTAAGTACGGCTGGTCGGACTGCAGTTTCGATGAT